GGAGGAGGAATAGTGGAAATGTATCCACATTTACAACATTCCTCTGTCCAAGTTTTAACACTCTTTTAGTTTTGCTAATTATGTGTGCTACCCTCATGCCCTCAGTTCTTCCCCTCAACACACTCAGCAAGTAACCCTAACAGAAGGCCCTTGACTCTCGCTTTGTAAGGTGGCAGCATGAGTTTAGCTGTCTCCCACTGGTCTCTCTTTGTCCATCATACTTGCTGTTGCTGCTGGTTTGATCTTGTTTCTGTATCAGTCTTGTATAGAAATCTCTGGCTCAAAGAATGCACTGGATTTTCTGCTTATTCTTTCCTGTTGGCAGCAAAATTCCCATTTTCTGTCTCTAAAACCATCAGTTAGTCTGACAGGATGACAAAATTGACCAATGTCATCTTTAGTAATCTACTTGCTTTACTTGCATGTTACCACTCAAAAGGTGTTATTTAGTTTACACTGTTAAGTAGCTATTCATTCACCTTAGTGGGGTCACATATACCTCACATTTCTATAGTATTACCTAGCCACATGCTGAAAATCAAATTCAATGGCTACAAAAGCCATGTAGACCTACAACTAGCAGAGAATAAAATAGATGAATGAGAGCTTCTAAGAATCAAAATACTTTTCTAACAGGGACTGGGAAAATATTTGTAAATTAAATATCTGATAAAGGACTAAAATATAAAATTTATAGAATATTGTAGCACCCCAAGAAGACAAAGGTAAACCGTAACTGCAAAATGGGCACAAAGTATGAACACGTACTTCACCAAAGAAGACATTCCAATGGCAAACAAATGCACGAAGAGATGTTCAAGGTCTCTAGCTATCAGAAAGATGCAAATCAAAACAATTAAGCAATATCATCTCACCCCAGCAACAATAGGAATGTTCAAAAGAGCAGCAAACAACAAATGCTGGTGAGGCTGTGGGGAGACTGGAGCCCTTATACACTGATGGTGGGAGTGTCAAATGTTACAACCACTATAAAAGTCTCTAGCACTTTCTCAAATAGCTGGCAACAGAAATACCATTTGGCTCAGCAATTCCACTACTACTAGGAATATACCCTAAAGATTCCAGAGCCACCATCCAAACAGATGTATGCACACCCATGTTTATTGCTACGTTATTCACAATAGCAAAATGATGGAAGCAACTCAAGTGCCCATCAACAAATGAATGGATAGAAAAGCTATGGGATATTCACACAATGAAATACAATGCAACACTTAAAAACAAGAAACTTGTAAAATATTACACAATATGGGTGACCATGGAGAACATTATACTAAGTGAAATATCTCAATCACAAAAGGGCAAATACTGTATAACACCATTGTTATAAAACAGACTGACATGGGGATTGGTGGTATCTAGGAAAACACGTGAAAGATAATGAATATTGCATTGGAACAGATGGGGATTGGTGGTATCTAGGAAAACAAGTGAAAGATAATGAATATTGCATTGGAACAGATGAAGTAAAGAACTACTTTCTCTAGCTCTGCCAGATCTCACCCTGCTATAAGCCGAAGCCAGAATGTTGGGAACAGAGGCAGTATCATGGCGCCTGCAGGTGGTGAAGGAATGTGGCTTACACACAAAACATTGGCAGCCTGTCCTCATATATGGCAGTTTTCACCTGTGCAGATCAAATTTCAGAGATTCATTTTAATGCTTGCTGTTTTAATGCATTTTTGGCTTCCAAAGGCTTTCAAAATAAAACCAAAACAAACAAAATCAAGAAGGATCTCTTCTCATTGTGAAATATAAGGATTTTTTTCAAGTTTGATTTTTGCTTAAAAAAACTGCTGATTTTCACATTTTTGAACATGCATTTTAAACATTCATTTAAACAATTACTCTTATGTTTTCTGTGATCAGAAGTCTCTCGGTATTTAAAATGCCATAATTATTATTATTATCAGCAGTACATTCAATTAAAACTATAGAAACTAAGCACAGAGGTTCAAAATAACATACATTGACAATTTTTAAAATAAAATGTAAACATAGTATCTAAAGTTCTAATTGGAAATACAATTTGGAGTAGTATTATTTAGTATAACACTTTGTTAGATTGAGACCTGATCATTTAGTAAAGTAACTCTCTCTCTCTCTCTCATTGTTGTTGAGTGGGGTCTGACTCAAAGCTGACCTGCAAGTGGGTTTCCAAAGATGAAAACCGCAGGCAAGATTTTTTCTTCCCATCTCTTTCCTTTGGAGTCACTGGTGGATTCACACTATAAAAGAAGCTCGCTCTTTGTATTATCAATATAATTCTCTACAGACTACACCAGCAGCACTCCCTAAAGGACAACAGTCCATCATAAATAAAAATACTATATTCACATACATCAAAGGCCTAATAAGATCAGTCAGATATCCTGTGGAGGGAGTTTAGAAAAAAGTGTGAGAATTACTGTGGGTGAGGATTCTGAGCTTATGTCCTTCCAAAGGCAACACAAAACATTCAAATGATAGCACCATCTGATACCATACTCTATTTTAGAAGACTGTTAAGCACCGGTGTCTTTCTTTATCTTTGGTTTTTATATTTCTTTTGCTTAAAATATCACTTTTATTTTTCCTTCCAGATATGAACCTTGTACTATCATGCATTATCATTATTACTGGCCTGCTAAAGCCCTTAGTTTTAGTCACTGTGTCAATCCATTTAAGTGAGTGTCCTCTCTGTAGGTGACCCTCTACCTTTTCCATAATATCTTTAAAAATCCTACTCTTTATGTCAGACTCAGCCCAAACACTACCTTGTTTATGATGTCCTGAAACCACATCTTCACTAAATAAAGCTGTCTCTGGACTCCCAGTATATACATGGCCAGTAGCATTACTCAGTATTTGCTTCATTTTGTCATGTATGTACCTGTCTCCTATATTGAGCTGTGACTAACTTCCTTAAGTTTAATTCATCTTTCTGATATCAGTACCATCTAAGCCCTGGATAAAGGAATGGTGTTTTATAGGAGAAAAAAACAAAAAGGCTGTGGAGAATAGGCTCTCATCCCAACTATATCATTGACCAGTTGTTTGATCTTGACCCTACTTAACTTTTCTTCCATCTGAATGGGAGTTAACAATATTTTCTTCTCAAGTTTATAGTTAGGAATAGACATAAAAAGTATAAAATTCCAGGGCGCTCTGGTGGCCTAGTGGCAAGAAGTTGCACTACAATCCCAGAAGTGTGTGGTTCAAATCCACCAGGTGCTCTGCTGGAGAAGGAGGGGCAATCTCCTCCTGTACCATTCAGTTCCAATTTGACGGCACACACAAAAAAGAGTAAAATGAAATAAAAAAAATTTAAAGTATAAAATTCCTACTATATAACAGATTACCATGAATGGTCAGCAATCACAAATTTTACCACAAGTTGCTATGAGTTGTAGGCAACTCGATGGCACATAAAAACAACAACAACAAATATAATAAAGGGATTTCTGGTGGCTTAATGGTAAGGAATTACACTGCCCATGCAGAGGTAGGCAGTTTGAACCCACCAGCTGCTGTGTGTAAAAAGACAGACAATTTCCTCCTGTGAGATTTATTGCCTCTGAAAACCTGCTGAAGGGCCAGCTATGAGCCAGTTTCAACTTGATGTCAGTCAACAACAATAAATACAATAAAAAAGCATATTGAGTAAACATGTAAAATGGTCATAATCCACAATGCCTAGTACAGTTCTGAACACATAGTGAAGCCTTTAAAACAAGAACGGTGTTTTCCCTGCTGTTAAGGACCTACCTTGAACTCTTTCTCAATGTTGGCCAGCACTGCCAGCTCATTGCTAAGTTGTAAGGCTACCATGACCGGATCTTCACTGGACAATGACAGATAGGCTGGACTTGCCAGGCCTTTGTAGGCATTAATCCTAGATCTCGAGTGGCTAAAGGAATCATGCTTCTGCTTCTGGTTGCATTCACTGCACTTGCAGAAATAGTCGTGAGGACGCTCAATCCGTGCTCCCTTTCTGAGGAGCGTGTGTACAATCTCATATTCCTGGCAATGGGCAGCCAGGATGATTGGAGTCACATCATGGGAGAACCGTGTCCCATCTTCATCATAAGCATAAAAATCATCCTGCTGGAGTTCAGACTGACTGGGGCTAGTGGCTAATCTCTTTCCTTCAGCAAAAGCTGGGTGATTGAGAATTGCTTCCACAATCCGAACATAACCTTTACTAATGGCTAGAAGCAAGGCATCTCCAACTCGAGACAGGTTTTCTTTCTTGAGGAGAAGTTCTGTGATTTCCAGATGCTCATTGGCCACGGCCAACTGCAGGGCATTCTGGCCCATGTAATCCACACAGTTCACGTTGAGTGAGAGGCATTCTTCTAGCATCTTCCTCACCACTGGAATGTTGCCATATTCAGCTGCATCTAAAAAGCGTTCCTCCTCAATAGATAGGCTTGTTGAGCGGTCACTAAACATGTAAGCTGGCCCTCGGTTCGCTAACCTTCTCCCCTTCTCACGGAGAATTGTCTGCCGCCGGTGGGCCAGTCTGTTGTCGGTGCCCCGGCTGCAATGGAAGAGAAAGATTGTAAACAAATCATATTAAGAGCATTTTAGTGTGCCAGATGACTTGCCATTTGACTAATGCAATCTTCAAGTATATTAGATAGTTGTCTCATCATCTCTAGACCAGCTCTATTATGAAATGAAGATGCATTTATATGTTAATGGATTTCAAGAACTTCTCCTTTATGAAAGCCAAGCACTTTGCAGATTTTAACATCCCTTTGTGGGGTGGAGTCTAGGGCAACTCCCATCATTGACTCTGGGTCATACACATAGAGATTAATGTGTTTTTCATTTGCACATTAGTATAGACATGAGGTCAGCTATCTTACTCATACTCTCTCATCCCAGCATAATATAAAGTGTGGAAAAAATACAGAGATAATAACAAGTCTATTCAAATCGACACACATTTCTTGAGTCCCTCCTATGCTGGAGCTAGGGATTGTATTATGGTTGAAAAATTCAGTGAGGAAACCAATAGAAACTTTTCCATTCTTGAAAATCTTAGAGTCCAGTGGAAGAAACGGAGAAGTAGCACAATACCGTATCAGCTGTTTAACTGTCAGGATAAACTTCTACTGGTATTAGGTTTTTTGTAACCTAACTTCTGGGCAAAAGTGACATATGAAAACTGAAAGATAAGTGGTCAGCTGAGTCTATATCTGGAAGGGTGGGCCCAAGTAAGGTGCCGGTGAAAAACATTCTCCAGCAGAAGAATCAACTACATGCAAGATCAGAGGTGTCATTAATAAGATCATTAACTCTGTGGTCCCCGTGACACCTTAACTTTAATTCCACCAGGGGTTTTTCCTTCTAAAAAAACATCACAAATAACCTACAAATATGTGATGTGGGTGGTAGGTGGGACAAACTACTGATGTGGAATGAACAGTGGTCAACCTGTGGCCAGTCTTTAAGGTAGTCCTGTTTGATATGAAGGGAAAAGGATTTCTCCACTGATCAAAAGATTCCTATGGGATATTTTTCCCCCTTACTAACATATGTTGTTGTTATGTGCCATCGAGTTGCCCGCAACTCATAGCACTCCTATGCACAATAGCTCTAAACCCTATGTTGTCCTGAGCCAGTCTCACTGTCTCCAACACATTTACCTCATTACCCCAGTTACTCTATCAATCCATCTCTTGCAGTGTCTTCCTCTCCTGTGCTGTACCTCCACCCTTCCAAGTATGATGTCCTTCTCCAAGGACCTGTCCCTCTTATCTATGTGCCCAAAATATGTGAGACGGAGCTTCAAACGCCTTGCCTCCAAGGAGAAATTTGGTTTCACCCTCTCTAAGACAGATTTGTTATGTTATGTTATGTTTTATGTTATGTTATGTTATGTTATGTTATGTTATGTTATGTTCAATACTCTTCTCCAGCATCACAATTCAAATGCATCAATTCTTCTTCTGTCATCCTTAGTCCTTGTCCAACTCTCTGATTCTTAGCAAGTAATTGTAAAGACAATGGATCAGGTGCACCTTAGACTCTTGACAGACGTCATTGCTCTTTAGCAGTTCGGAGAGGTCCCTGACAGCTGGCTTCCCCAATTTGTCTTTTCATTTCTTGACTAATGTATAACTTTGGCATACTAATGCAAAAGGTATGCAATTCTAAAACACTAGATCTCCACAATAAAAGGATAGGTAATCTCCTCTCATGTAATTTACCTTCTTTGAAAACCTGCTGGAGGGTAAGCTATGATTGGGTTCTGACTCAGTAGCATACAATAACAACAACAATGCCTAACTTTAGATCTTAAAGTATTTTCTGAGTTTGAGGATTTTTTAATTAAAATTAGATTATTCAAACTTGACTATTATCACTAACTGAAAACTGAAAAGGAACTATACAAAGTAATGGATGAATCAGATTATGGGGGGCTGCCCAAAAAGAGGAAAAGAGGCATGTTAGATGAAGTTTGTGTCTACTTTTGTAAATTTCCTAAACATCAGCCCACTTTAAAGACCATCACAAACTTCCAAGTAAAATAACAGTTTTAAAAACCTAACTAGTCATCTTCCCCTCCAATGTATTCAGGTCTAGAGAACCTAAAATTCCTTATCTTTTAGCCCTTAACAGTTTGATACTATCTCCAGGCAATATTGTCCACAGTAATATCTCAGCATTTCAGAAATAGATTATGGTTCTCCAAGAACCTTGAAGAGTATATTAACCATATTCACAAATGTTTTTCACTGAATTTTCATTCAGCTATGATTCCTTTAAACATCCAAGTCCTCTCTAACCCCAAATAAAGTGATATTTTGTTAGAGACAAACTTGCAAAGTAATCTTTAGGTTTTTGGTTTTTTTTTAAGGTTACAAGGAGCAAGTAGCAGGGCAAAGAGTGTGATACTACTAATGAGTGACATCCACTTCCTAAACCACATGCCTCCGGAAACTCTATGAACTTTGATAAATGTCCATAGTTGTAGAGGGGCTTCAGGCCTTTTGTTCATAGGGTTGCTATGGGTCGTGCTCGACTCAAAGGCAATCAACAACAACAACAACAATGTCTTTAGATAAACTTTTATCAAATAATAAAGCAATGATTTCTAAATATATTTTGTTTTTCTCTTATTTCATTTTAAATCTTATTTTTAACAAAACTATTCATGCAAATATTTTATATACTCTTTATAAACATTGAAGATAGTCCTTTGTCCCTCATTTCCTGACCCACATAGACAATATATTCTAACTCAGTTTTTTTTTTGCCATACCAATGAGATTTCCACTATGAAAGTTGAGAAATTTAGTCCACCGTATCTTCACATTCATTTTCTCACATCACAGTTACAACAGAAATACATGAGCATAATTCTCATTCCAGCCGAGTTATTGTATGAATGTTAGATGAACAGTTATTTCGTACAATATGACAATGTAAATCCTCACTCAAAATCCTCACCATCAGGTTGGAACTGACTGACAGCTGACTTTCTAGTTGGTTTATAGAAGGTGGCCCATCTTTCTCTGGAATTGTGGCTAGTAGAATTGAACTACCAGAAGCCGCCACCTCTGGGTTAACAGCACAACTCCTTACAACCTAGGCCACCAGAGGTCACTGTGTAAATACTGTTGTTATTATTGTGTACCATCGAGTCAGGATTGATCCATCATCTGACCCTTCAGTGGGTTTTCAGAGGCAGTTAACTACATGGGAGGAGACTGCCCATCATTCTCCCACATAATACTAGTCATAAAAAAAATTAATACTGCACAAATACTAGTCATAGCTAAACAAGGAGTGTATGTAGTGCATTTTCTAATATATTGCTGTGGTTGTTCTGTGTCACCAGTTAATGGCCCTATGAACAACAGATCTGAATCTTGCCCTATTTTACGCCATCCTGTGATCTCTGACATGCTCAAGCCTGTTACAGTCACTGTGTCAAACCATCTACTTGAGGGCCCTCCACTTCTTCATTCTTCAACCCACTGATGCTCTATCTTTCTCAACATATTGTTGTTTCCCAAGGACTTGCCCTTTCTGACAACATGACCGATGTATTTGAAACCGTTTCATGATTCTTGCTTACAAGACTCTTGATTGCAATTCCTACAAAATAGACTTAGATCAAACCTAGTGCAATCAAGTTGATTCCAATTTATAACAACCCTCCATTGAGTTTTTGAGGCTATAAATCACAAAAGGAGGAGGACTTCTCATATATCTCCAGAGGAGCTGCTAGTGGATTTGAACTGCCAGAGATGTAGCCTTTTTGGTTAGGAGCATATTTACTTGATAGACTACAAGTAATGAAGAAATGCTCAAGACAATTAGCTATTCTTACACAAATTCATTGTCATCCAACTGGAATTAACTCATGATTGACCTTTTAGCAGGTTTTCTGAGGCTATAAATTACATGGGAGGAGACTGCTCATATTTTTTCCTACAGAGCAGCTGGTGGATTGGTGCTTCCTGGTTTTGGGTTGGCAGCACATCTCCTCACCCACTAGGATGCCAGAGCTCCATTAGCTATTGTTGTTATTGTTATGTACCATGAAGTCAGAACCAACTTATAACTGACCCTGAGACCACATGGGAGAAGACTGTCCACCTCTCTCCTGTGGAGCAGCTGATGGATTAGAATCACATGCCTTTGGGTTAGGCTCCCTTCATTTGCTGTTAGACAGATGCAAAGCATAACAATGAAAAACTATTATCTCACCCCAGATGCAAAGCATAACAACGAAAAACTATTATCTCACCCCAGAAAAAAATAGCAATGTTCAATAAGACACCAAACAACAAATGTTGGGAAGATTGTGGAGAAATCAAAACTCTCATACATCCCTTCTGGGAATGTAAAAGGGTGCAACCACTATGGAAACCCTTTTAGTACTTCCTCAAAGTTGGAAATAAAAATACCATTTGATCCAGAAATGCCAATACCAGTCATTTCCAAAAAAAAATAAGAGCTGCAACACAAACTGACAGTCACACTCACATTTATTGCAGCATTATTTACAATAACAAAGAGCTGGAAACAACCCAGGTGCCCACAAATGGACAAATTAATAAAGAAGGTTGGTACATTCACACAATGGCATATCAAAAATTTGTAAATACTGTACAACATTGTTGTTGTTGTATACCATCAAGCCATCAAGTCAGAACCAACCCACAGCTGACCCTCCAGCAGGTTTCCATAGAAAGTTTAATTGCACTGGAAAAGATTGTCCATCTTTCTCCTGTGGAGAAGCTGGTGGATTTGAGCTCTGTGCCTTTGGGATTACAGCACAATTTCTTTCCACTAGAACATCAGAGCTCCCATGGAGGAGCTCATAGTACAACATAGAGGGATCTAAAACAACAAACAAAGAAAAAATCAAATCCCACAATCATGCTGAGTGAAACAAGTCAATCAGCAAATAATCATCATGGTATGAGACCATTAATATACAAAGCTAAGAAAAAGTTTATATACAGATATATTCAATCTTGGAAGGTTAACAGGAATGAGAAGAGAAGTAAAGGAGAG